GGAACTATTGGTTTCTCACGGAAATTTTTTTTCTCTCCTTTTTTTTTTTTTTTTTATTAAAAAAAGAGCGGTTTCTACTATAAGGCACATGTGCTTGCCAGAAAGAGAGAAACCAAGAAATCACCCCCTGGCCACGCCACAATCCCTTCTCCATTCTCCTTTTGGGATCTTGGGCATGCACGCACATGTGCCTGGCGTGAGATTAAGCCACCAGGTTCGGGACTCAAACTGTGGTCAACTACATGGGAGCCCAGCGACATAGCCGTTACGCCAACTGCTGGTCCCCCATCTCATGGAACTTTCTGTGCTCTGGATTTGTCTGATGATTTCCACAGAACACAGGTTAACTTGTTCCTAGATAGTTCCTGTAAACTGGAAGTTAGGCCTAAAGATGGACTAGATTCCAGTCAGAAAGCAGGACTACACAGGGGATGAGCACTTCCTAACTGAATCCTAACTCGGTGCCTTGTTAGTGAGACCAGGGCTGATGATGCAGTGGGATTTCCATGGCAAACATTTTTGAGACAACTAAGGACATTGGAACATGACAAAGTACTAGGGAGTATTAAGGAAATGACTAATTTTGGTAGGGTCGATAATGGTGCTATGATAGTGTAGGAAAATCTTCTCGTGTAGCACTTTGTCATGTTCCAGTGTCCTTGGTTGTCTTTGAGTAACCCCAGACTAACCCAGTTTGGAAGTCCTCTTCTGTCCTGACTCCTGCCTTATTTAGGACATGACAAAATCACTGTAAGAAAAGGAAGATGGTTTAGCTAAATCCCAGAACTTTTCTAAAATCTGTTTGTCATAAAGTTGAAAAATAAACATTCTTCCATTATTTATTTACATCACATCTGCAGAACCATTTGCCTTCAGGCTTCCTGTCTGGAAGAATTCAGGTTTGCTGTCAGAAATGGACCTTGCTTTGGACCTTTGCTGATCAAACTGGACCTCATAAAAGGGCAGATATTTTAGTAACTGATGTAAAAACTATAGTCAAGGCAAACCAGATCCAGGACACAGTTAACAACTCTAACTTATTTCTACCATACTTTTGTTTTATATTCTCCCACATTTACCTTCTTAAAATACACTTATAAAAATCAATTTAAATCTTTTTACTAAAGCAGTTATGTCACTTCCCGACTGTGTCCAAAACTTAACAATATATATCCTGAACACTTAGGAGTGAGATTTACTTTTTTCTTTTTTGTCTTTTATGCCAGAGGGTGCATGTGTATGTGCAGGAGAGAATAAGAGACAGAGAGGCAGAGAGAGAGAGCGATAAAAAGAGAGTATGTGCATCCCCGCAAATGGGTGTGGTCATGCTGCAATTCCTTTTCCTTCATTTTTCCATCTCATCAGGATCCTGGACACATGGGTATATGCCTAGCATGTTTTTCAAGACACTGGGTTAGGATTTGAACTGCAGATGACCAGGTGGGATCTGGCTCCCACTGCACAGTATTTAACCATTATGTAATAGGGCCAGCCCAAGATTTTTGTTTTGATACTACTCCAGAAAAGTCAGTTATTAACATGTAATGAGCCATTTTCAGACTTTTAAGTAAACTAAAAGAGCCAAAAGAAAATATTCTTTTCTCCAAATAGCTGGAGATGTAAATTCACGTGTAAAAATCTGCTAAAAACACACTACCACCTTGCATTTCAGAAGAAATACATTAACTAGAATGGCTCCCACAAAATCCATACTACATTTGTTAGCCAGCAGATCCTCGTTCTTTTTTTTTTTTTTTTTTCTTATTTTTTCTTCCCTCTTTCAATTGACAGAGGGTGTGTGTTCACCAGAGACAGAGAAAGGGAGGAAGCACCCCACAATGGAGTGGGGGTTGCATTGCAATCCTGTCTCCATTTTTCATCCTGTCAGGATGTGGGACACATATGCCTTCAAGCTGTGCTGCTAGTACTGAGATTCAAACCACAGCTAGCCATGTGGATTTGGCTTCTTTTTTTAAGAATTTTTTTGTTGTTGTTGTTATTGGGTGCATGGTGCACCCTTGAGAGTCAGAGAGATAGAAAGCGAGAAATCACCCCCCACCCCCCGCGGGGGGATGGACACACCACAATCCCTTCTCCATTTGCCTTCTGGGATTTGGGGCACACATGCACATGCACTCAGTGTGAGTTTCAAGCTGCCAGGTTGAGACTCTGAGGACAGCCAGCCATGTGGGAGTCCAACACCTTAACCACTATGCCACCTGCTGGCCCTGGATCTGGCTTCTGCTGCACAAGTCTTGTTTTTTTTTTTTTTTATATTTTTTTTTTAAAATTCAATCATTTTATTTAGTAATATTTCATTTCAACATGTGAATATTTCTCCCTTGTCCAGTTGATAAAACTATAAAATTACCTTCAACAGATAATACATTTCTTTGTCCCATTAATGCTTTGCCTATTTTTCTTCTAAATGTCCTTTCTCAGACTCTACTCTTTCACACATACTATATCTGGTATTCACAGCCATTTATTGTGTTTCTATATCCTTTAGTCAATCAGTTTCAGTCATAGAGTGCGGACACTAGTTATATATTAAGTGGGGACATAACAAATCTTAACCACTGTGCAGTAGGGCTGGCCCCCCAAATTTTTATACTCAGTTGATACTTAGTTCTCTAAGTAACTTTATACTCAAGCTCTCCTTCAAATCATTAGAAACCGTTTAGTAAATTGTGTTAGTGGATTTCTCTTGAAATCTGACAAAAAGTTGCACGGGTAGAGCCAGCAGGTGGCATGGTGGTTAAGGCACTGGACCCCCACATGGGCAACCATGATTTGAGTCCTGGACCTTGTGACTTGCTTTCCTTCTCTCTCTGGTCAAATTTAATAACAATAATAATAATAACAATTAAATAAATAAATAAAATTAAATAATTAAGTCTTTTTTAAAAAGTCTGCATGGAAATTAGTTGTAATGCCTCCAAAAACCTCTATTAAATCTATCTTGAGCTGCCAGAATGAGCACACCAAGGCAAGACCTTGCTGAATGCTGAGACTGATACTAAAGCAATGGTATCGGGGGCTGGCAGGTGGCGTGGTGGTTGAGGGTGCTGGACTCCTCATATGGCCGACCACAATTTGAATCCCAGATTTCTCTCTTCCTCGTGCTCTGTCCTTCTCTGGCCAAATTAAAAGAAAGGAAGAAAGAAAGAAAGAAAGAAAGAAAGTAAGTAAGTAAGTAAGTAAGTTAAGTAAAACAATTCTAAAAAAAAAAAAAAAAAAAAAAAACCAATGGTATCATGATTAAATAAGTTTTTATTGTCACATTTAACTGCTTTGTCAGATATACATTGTAGATTTCAGTATGGCATAAAAATAAAATATTTTCCTGAATGTCAGAATCTGAACAGAGGAGATGGCAATGGCACTTAAAAAAAAAAATTAAATTCACACTGGTGCTGAAGCCGCGTAGTAGGTAGCTGATAAAAACCGGAACACCTTTGCAGATAAAGTGGCCTGCAACATTTTAAATCAAATGGCAGTGGTATAAGGCCAACAAAACCAGGACAGCAGTTAAAATACAGACCCCATAGAGTGGATATCCAAAGAATGGCAGTTTTAGCATTTCATTTTTTCAGTCCGTATTATCTAATTTAGTACTGGAACTGGAGCTCAGTGAGTAAATGTCTATCCTACAAAATAAAACTACTTTTTTGGGACCCAGATTTTAAACCTCTCTAACAACTTCCTTATTCTTACAGGTTTTAACTAGTCCAAAGGAAAGGCAGTTAACCACTGTGCAGTAGGGCTGGCCCCCCAAATTTTTATACTCAGTTGATACTTAGTTCTCTAAGTAACTTTATACTCAAGCTCTCCTTCAAATCATTAGAAACCGTTTAGTAAATTGTGTTAGTGGATTTCTCTTGAAATCTGACAAAAAGTTGCACGGGTAGAGCCAGCAGGTGGCATGGTGGTTAAGGCACTGGACCCCCACATGGGCAACCATGATTTGAGTCCTGGACCTTGTGACTTGCTTTCCTTCTCTCTCTGGTCAAATTTAATAACAATAATAATAATAACAATTAAATAAATAAATAAAATTAAATAATTAAGTCTTTTTTAAAAAGTCTGCATGGAAATTAGTTGTAATGCCTCCAAAAACCTCTATTAAATCTATCTTGAGCTGCCAGAATGAGCACACCAAGGCAAGACCTTGCTGAATGCTGAGACTGATACTAAAGCAATGGTATCGGGGGCTGGCAGGTGGCGTGGTGGTTGAGGGTGCTGGACTCCTCATATGGCCGACCACAATTTGAATCCCAGATTTCTCTCTTCCTCTTGCTCTGTCCTTCTCTGGCCAAATTAAAAGAAAGGAAGAAAGAAAGAAAGAAAGAAAGAAAGTAAGTAAGTAAGTAAGTAAGTTAAGTAAAACAATTCTAAAAAAAAAAAAAAAAAAAAAAAACCAATGGTATCATGATTAAATAAGTTTTTATTGTCACATTTAACTGCTTTGTCAGATATACATTGTAGATTTCAGTATGGCATAAAAATAAAATATTTTCCTGAATGTCAGAATCTGAACAGAGGAGATGGCAATGGCACTTAAAAAAAAAAATTAAATTCACACTGGTGCTGAAGCCGCGTAGTAGGTAGCTGATAAAAACCGGAACACCTTTGCAGATAAAGTGGCCTGCAACATTTTAAATCAAATGGCAGTGGTATAAGGCCAACAAAACCAGGACAGCAGTTAAAATACAGACCCCATAGAGTGGATATCCAAAGAATGGCAGTTTTAGCATTTCATTTTTTCAGTCCGTATTATCTAATTTAGTACTGGAACTGGAGCTCAGTGAGTAAATGTCTATCCTACAAAATAAAACTACTTTTTTGGGACCCAGATTTTAAACCTCTCTAACAACTTCCTTATTCTTACAGGTTTTAACTAGTCCAAAGGAAAGGCAGTTAAACTCCAAGTATTAACTTGATGGGCTGACCTAGGCATAAAAATGGTGGGTCTTGCCATTTCCAAACCAGGAGCCCAATAGGCTCGTGAAGGCCTTAGTAGTTTCATCTGTTCTGGGCAAAACTAGAGAACAAGCAGTAATTAAATCAAGTATAAGTGCATCCCAGCAGGGTCTCTACACGTTCTGCCATTATCTCTCAAATGGCAAATCGGAAAAAATAAGTATGGTTATTCAGATTTAAAATGAAGCTATATTCACCAAGATTCCCAAACAGTTCATTCAATGTCTTTCCTTCACAAATAGAACAAACACTAGGATTTGTCAGATCTAAATAAGATCTATCCCTTACATGTGAACGCAGCTAAATGCACGCTGTCTGGAATCTGTTCACCATAAACCCCAGGCCTGGTCCATAACTCCTGTTATCCACTGCTATGTGTCCTTCCTTAAGACTGCAGGACAGAGACCATGAATGTGTTAGTGCAGTAGTCACTGTAATCCACCGAGAGAAAAATAATTCATTTATTTATGACATACTTATTTGGATGATTACTTACTGGTAATTAGTATTTCTACATTTTTTTTTTTTTAAAGGCAACCATTTTAAGTGACAATACATATCAGGCTAGTAGAAAAAAGTTGAAACAAAGCCCTCTCTTTCAATCTCACAAAGTCATGCAGACAAGAGAAGGTACATCTGATTTGTTCCAATCAGACTTCTTGGAATTATCAAAATTTCTTTTCTGGCAAAGATGAATTTGGCTCATCATAGAAAGAAGTTCTTTGAAGGCTGCTGCTAAACTCATTTCCCTTTGAAAAAGTAAATTTCAAGGCATGATAGTGCAAGAGGTAAGTTTTTTGATTTACAGGACATTTATAGACTAATTGTGCTTAGTCTCTAACTTCCAATTTATTTTAAAGAACAGAAACTACACTGATAAGTTTTGCTTTGCCTACATTTACCAGTACATCCATGAATCGCACCAGAATTAGGATAACTTGATTATCTTAATGATTCTGTCATGAAAGCTGCGCACTGCGTCCAGAGGTGAGGACCAGCGGATAGAGGCTCCTAGTTCTGTGCACAATCTCCCCAAGGGAGTCAAGGTAGCTGAGAAAGCAGTTCTCTCCCAGGTTAAGTCCTCAAAAACTTTCTCAATAAGCAATTAAGAAAAACAGTGCTAAGTGGAGAGTTTCTTTTGTTTTGTTAAATCTGGGAGGTCTGAGTGTTCCTGGGGTCCTCATCAGGATGTGTCATGGGTCGTGGATCCTTCAAATGTGAGTATTCATTATTAGAGAGCTCGGTAGGGTCAATCAAATTTTCATAATCACTGTCATCTGAATCCTCACCACTGTCGCCAACTGCTCTTTGGGAAAGAGGAAGGTCTGCTCCACTTCCAGGATATTTCAGTCCGGCACTGGTAGAAGCATAATTAGAAGAGCCCACGGCCTGAGGTCGAGGCATAAAAATACTCCTTTCCATGCGGGAATGGCTCAAAGTATTTTCTTGACTGTTTGGGTGAAAATCTGAATAAGGGGGAGGAGGATCAGAGGCCTCTGCGTCGTCAAGTGTACTTCTGCCTTCGGCTGCAAACCCAGAATAGGGCATCCGAGGACTGAACACTGGCTCCAAGCTTTCAGACGGCACCTGTCTGTTTAACATTGCCTGTTGCAACCCTGAGTGAAAACAGAAAGAATACTGTAACACTTCCTATATTTTCACAACTTTTCATCTCAGTGCATTATATGTCAACCTTAATGTTCTGGAAAATAGCAGCAAGGCAGCAAAATGGATTGTTACTATTATTCTAGAATTGCACAGTACTTTATAATTTAGAAAACACTTCTTACACATTAACTCATTTAAGCCCCACACCAACTTTTTGAGGTGTTATATCCTAATTATTAATATTATTGTACCCATTACACAGGCAAAGAAACCAGAGTTCAGAAAGGGTAAGTGATTTGATTAAGGGAATAGCTAGAAATGGGGCCTGGATACTTATATCACAGATCTACTCACTTCCAATCCTGTGCTATCCCCCCCCCCACACACACACTTATTGCTCATTGTGTTCAAAATGGTGGGAATGGAAGGATGAAATGGAAACAGTCCTTACCACCCTTCAGTCATATGAATGGGAGATTTTCTTTTCTTTTCTTTTTTTGAGATTTTTGCCATAGGACATGTATGCTCACTGAAGAGGCACAGAAAGACAGAGACAAAAAGCAAGAAATCACCCCCCTCCAGGAGGAATGGATGTGTGCAATCTCTTCTCTTCCATTCTCCTCGCAGGATTTTGGGCTCGCACATAAACACACCAGGTGTGAGATTTTTTTTAAAAAAAAATAATTATCCATTTCATTTTATTTACTTTTAAAATTTTATAATTATTTTTTAATTTCACCAGAGAGAGACAGAGAAAGGGAAAGTGAGAAAACAAGCCAAGAGGTCCAGGACTCGAACCATGGTCAGCCATGTGGGAGTCCAGTGCCCTTAACCACCATGCCACCTGCTGGCTCCCAGGCGTGAATTTTAAGTCCCCAGGTCTGGGACTTGAATTGAGGTTGACTACATGGGAGTCCAGTGATGTAACCATTACGCCATCTGCTGGGCCCAGGGAAATTTTCTTCTTTGACATTCTTGGGCCAGCCTTGTGGCCTGATGGATAAGCGAGCTGGATACCGCATGGCTGACCATGTAGTTTATTTAACTTTTTATTTATTTATTTACTTATTTTAATTTGACCAGAGAGGGACAGAACGAGAGTGAGACAAAGACAGAGACAGAGAGAGAGAGAGAGAGAGAGAGAGAGAGAGAGAGAGAGAGAGAGAGAGAGAGAGAGAGAGAGAGAGAGAGAGAGAGAAAGAGAGAAAGTGAGAAAGCAAGCCTCCAGGTCTGGGACTTGAACTGTGATCAACCATGTGGGAGTCCAGCACCCTTATCACCATGCCATCTGCTGGCCCCATGACCATGCAATTTAAAATTTTGCCCTGGTAGCTTGAAAAATACACTGGTCACATGTGCATGAATGCCCAAAATCCTGATAGGATGGAGAAATGGAGAAGGGATTGTGGCATGACCACCCCCAACTAGGGAATGCTTTCTCTCTCATTCTCTCTCCCTCTTTCTCTCTCTCTCAGGCAAGTGCATGTGCCCTCTGGCAAATTATAAATAAATAAATGCCTAAAATATATTTCTTTAGAGCTACCTGTCCCAACTCACTTATACACTTCTTTCTCAATAAATGTTTAAAAGTCCTATGTTAGGTGGCTGGTTTTCTAACATTAGACTACAGATTTACCACATATTTATGAATGCTTGGAGCTGGATGAATGTAGAAGTCACATAATTTATTGCGTAAGTTGAAATTTAAAATCAGACACTTTCCTGATACAAACTAAAAAAATCAATAAGAAACCTACTTTTTTCTTGTTCCTTTTCATTTTTCCTCTGAGTGATTTGTCTTCTTAATTTGTTCACTTCTGCCTGACAAGATTCAACAACTCGCTCACTCTTTTCTACATCTGCACACACTGCCTGAGGATAAAATGACAACAAGAAATGTTAGCTGCAAATTTAAGCACGAGGCATTTCATAAATTCGGCATTGATTACAACCCTAGGAAAAGCCCAGATGGTTTGTTGAACTAAAAAGCAGACATATAAGTAGAACAAAATCATGAAGTTCTAAGAGACCAGTATGAATGCTAGTATTCACTGGCTTGCTTTCTTAATTTTAGGATGATTATGCTATTTAGCTATTAAATTTTTGAAAAAAAAATAAGGGAAATATTTAATCTTTTCAGTTGACTAATTACATTTATTGAAATGAAAAGAGAATTGTTTAAACCAGCTAGCTTACAAAAGAAAATGATAAAATGGGAATGAGATACTTTCAACTTTTATTTATAACCAACAATCAAATACCAGATAAGACAGATTTACTTAACAAGAAAATCTTTAATATGAAGGGAAGCTGAAAAAAAAAAGAAATGTTTCAAAGTCAAGGCATAATAGAGAATAATTATTTGAGACCACATCTAGGTAATTTAGTCATTTATAATTAGAACATTCTATGTGATAGTGGTGTTTTCAGAGCAAGTCTTATCAGTCCACATGAAATGTATTAACAGTTATTTTGAAGTCCTCTGGCCAGCACTGGTAGTCTGAAAAGGACATGGTCATGGATCAGACTGAAAAGTTGTTTTCTACAGCATGTTCGTTCCATAGCAAGTTTGTCACCAGGGACCCTGCAGAAGGCGCTCTGCACTGCTACGTGTACAGTGGCCCTAAATCAGAACACCAGCATTGGAAACTGCCCTCGTATGCTTCCTCCTTTTGTCCCAGGTTGCTATCAGTCTGCTCTTCTCTCTCTCACTCTCTCCATTATTCATTGGAGGCTTCTTCCTTAAAGCCAGGCCTTCTCCAGGCCTCCTTTACACTCTCAATGACATGTTCAAAGGCAAGGCTATTCTGTTCTTAAAGAGTTTTAAAGCAAATGGATCCTGAGAACACACTGTGGATGATGAAAAGAACGTGGGAAAGTATTATTAGCACCTAGCTCAGTAACTGGCTCACATGAGATGTTTCCATAACTATTTGCCGCATGAATGCCTAGGTATGAACAGGCTTCACTGCGAATCTCCTACTCAATGAAGGTAGCTAGTAGCAAAGTAAGCATACTGGGTTGGAGAAAACAGAGTTACAGTGAGTGATGGGTACTGTCTCACTTAAAATATTACTGATGGGTGGGATGGCCTACTTAGGGAGCTGGATCCCATATAGCTGATGTAATTCACATCCCAGTCTTGGCAGCTTGAAAAATATGTCAGGTATGCATGCATGCATGCCCCAAATACTTACAGGATGGAGAGATGGAAGAGAAGGGACTGCAGTATGACCATGTTCCACTGGGGGATGCTTTCTCCCTCTCTATCTTTCTCTGGCAAGTGCATAAGTCCTCTGGTAATTAAAAAAATTCTGTGTGTGTGTGTGTGTGTGTGTTTGTGTGTGAGTGTATATATATACATAAATTTACATATATATATATATATATAAACTGACGGAGGCAAATATACCCTTAGCAACCCTCCTCTAAATTTGGAATAAACTTTCCTAGAAAAAAACATTATTACAAATGGGGTCACAGGTGTTTAAAACAGTAGTAGTAATAATGTACTTCAGTTCTACTTCAGACATGTAGTGAGCGAGACAGGTTTTTGTAGGCTGGCATGAGTAACTACTCTATAGATCTGATATTCTGAGAATCTATATTGTGATTTTTGGATCACAACTTATTTTTCGGTTGGAAGATAAATAAAAATTAAAGTACAATTAAATTCATTTGAGCAATGCAAATAAGATGAAAACTAGTAAATAAATCAATTACCTGCACTTTTTCCTGAAGTGCATTATAAACTTGATAAATTGCCCTGATGTCTTTCATTACTCCATCCTTGTCAAAAAAGTCAGTACTAGAAGACAGACAGAAAAAAAAAAATCACAAAGTTATTATAATTGTCATAAATCTGAAAGGCAATTCTTCTGTCACCTCTACTTTAATCTATTCCTTAAATGGTATGACTCCAAGGTGTAACAGCTGAACAATAATGCCCATACTATCAGAATTACAAAAGAGAAATTAAAGAGAGTCCATGTTACCAAGATCATTTAAAAAATAACTAAAAGCTATACATTTTCAGTAGCTATATTTAGCTTTCAGAACCTCAGAAACACATATATTCTATCCAAACTTTTCTATTAATTACAAAAAAATTTGTATACATTTTGTAGTTAATACAAAAGTTTTATATTAATTACAAAAGAAGTCGTATTAGATGATAAAATTGGCAAGAGTAAATTATTTTAATAAGAATATAATTTTTGATATATGAAGGTGGCTAACTAGAGTAACTACCTTATTGTATTCTTTAATTTCAGTCCCGTCAAAGTTGATTTTATGTACTTTTAAATATCATACATCTCTATACATTTTTAAAATATTATAAACAAAATAAATACTATAGACAAAAGAAATGTCAGACCTTGGTGCAGCAGTGAAATGCAATGCTCTGCATGGCAGACCTACAGGAGCAGGCTGCCAATTTCATCCAAAGGCCACACCTGAGCATGCTGGGCACATATATGCCTACGATCTGGGTGGGCTGGGCGGGGGGTAGATTGTAGCATAGAATCATATCATTGGACACTGTCTCTCTCATTCATTCACAGAAGTAAACTTTAAAAAAAGAAAGAAAAGGAAAAAAATTCTCATTTTTACCTTTCAACTTACCCATGTTCTTTAATAACTTTGGCATAACTCTGAGAAGTATTTGGCACTGAAGACACTTTGTACTCTTGCTGGCTAGTATTGCCTAGATTGGGAATAGCAAGTGATATCCTTTGATTATACCTATAGGGAAAACCGAGAAGGATATTATGTTGAAAGTACTGCTATACTCTAAGAATGGGGTTCGGCAATGCGGGTCTTAGTATCTGACATTGGTAAACTAACAGAAGATCTCATGGAACAGCTGTTTCTACAGACAACCCAAGGCTGCAGAGATTAACAATTTTCTCCCCTTCCCTTAAAGTAAGTTCCCTAAGGGCAGAAGCCATGCTTTAGACGTCTTTGGCATCCCCACAGCAACTAACATATTGAACATATTTTAAGTGCTCAAGAAATACCTACAGATTAACAAATAAAATCTTGCAAAAAACCTTGCTATTTAACAATGAATAGTCATTTTAACTAATGTAAATTTTATTCTACTACACATAAATTTACAGAGGGAAACCTTTCTGATGTTTATAGACAGACTGCCTGATCACAATATTGTGCATTGTTAATGCTTTAACAAGTTCAAAATGCAAAACCCTCATTAACCAGTAGGTGGATCAATTTTACAATTTTGTCTCTGAAATCTGTATTTTAAAATTACAATTAAACTTCTGCAGCAATAAAGCAGCATTTCTATGTAATGGATTATGAAGAAGCAAATGATGATTTCTACCTATTTATTCCTGTAAGAATTTATGCATAATAAACATGTCGTGCTAATGATTCTGGTCCCCAAAATAATTTAATTTATACAAATTTCTTTCTGACAAGGAAAATACCTCCTCTAACTACTGTACAAGAGAACTAGCCAAAGAGAATTATAAAAGCTTTTCTTTAAGGAACCAGCAGTTGGTGTAATGGCTATGTCGCTGGACTCCCACGTAGTCGACCGCAGTTCGCGTCCCGGACCCGGTGGCTTAAAACTCACGCCGGGTGCATGTGCGTGCGTACCCAAGATCCCGAGAGGAGAATGGAGGAGAAGGGACTGCGGCATGACCATCCCCCCTGGGGGGTGATTTCTCGCTTTCTGTCTCTATGTCTGCGAGCGCACGTGCCCTATAGCAAAAATCTCCCCCCCCCCAAAAAAAAGGCTTTTCTTTAAAGGTACTACAAACTGCCCTATAATGCACTTTTTTTTTTTTTTTTAAAAGATTTTTGCTATAGGGCGCATGTGCTCACTAGAAAGACAGAGAGACAGAAAGTCAGAAATCACCCCCCAGGGGGGATGGCCACACCGCAATCCCTTCTCCTCCATTCTCCTCTTGGGATCTTAAGCACACATGCACATGCACCCGGCCTGAGTTTAAGCCACCGGGTCTGGGACTCAAATTGCGGTCAACTACATGGGAGTCCAGTGACATAGCCATTACGCTAACTGCTGGTCCAATAATGCACATTTTCTAAGTCATAAATTTCATCTACTTGTATCAACAGCTTTCTGTTTACATGAGGCTGGTGGGAAAGCTTTCTCTTTTACCTTCTATTTGGTCTAAAGAGAACATATTCTAAAGCATGAGTGGAATTATTGGCGGTGGAGATGAAGCTGAAGAGGAGGAAGACGAGGTCAGGCACACCGAGGATGCGAGTAAGCTGCTTGTGGAGCACCTGCTCTCGGTAGGACATTTGCTGCTGCGTATTTCGCCGAAATCTGTACCACCCGATAACTTTCTGCAACAAAACAGAAGGAAAAAAATGTTAAAAGGAGAATGAGGGCCAGTGGTGGCATGGTGACCTGGATCTCACATGGCTAACTGTACAGTTCAAGTCCCAGACCTGGTGGCTTGAAAAACATACCATGTATGTGTGTGTGCTCAAAATCCTGAGCAGAGAATGGAGGCACTGCAGTGTTGCCATCCACTTTGGTGGGATGCTTTCTCACTTTCCCTCTTTCTCTGTCTCGCTCTCGCTGGTGAGTACACGCGTTCTATGGCAAATTGTTTTAAATGTTGCAAACACATGCAAATGTACATAGCAGCTTGATGTGCAATAGCCTCGAACTAAAAACAAATTAATTGCCCATCAGCAACTGAGATGATAAACAAATTTGGTATCCTTCGGAATCTGGATTACTTCAGAATCCTACTCAGTAATAAAAAGGAACAAACTACTAATACATGATAAAAATCCAAAATGATTATGCTGAGCAAAAAAAGCCAGATCAAAATGAATGAATGAATAAATAAACAAACAAAAGCATATGCCAGAAGATTCTATAAGGTCATTGGGAAAGCCATGTTTTTTTTGTTTTGTTTTGTTTTTTAATGTATTTCTATACAAAAACATCTCACGACTTCCCTGACAACCCACTATTTATACAAGTATCTAGAAAATGATATAACATAAGCAGACCAGTAGTTGACAGGAAATGGGGTGAGGTGAGACTGGGGGTGGTTAAAAGGGCAATAAGGGATCAGTAGATGGCATGGAGGTTAAGGTGGCTGGATTCCATGTGGCTGACTAAATTGTTCAAGTCCCAAACCAGGTGGTTTGAAAAATAAGCCAGGTGCGATGTGTGGACATGCCCAAAATCTTAAGAAGAGAGTAGAGGAGAGGGGATCGTGGGCTGCTTTTTCACTCCCCCCCACTTCCCTGTCTGTCTTCAATGAGCACATATGTTCTATAGCACACACACACATGCAAAAAAAAAAGTAATTCTCACAGGAGATGGACATGTGCATTATCTTATGATGGTGATGGTTTCATGGGTGTATGCATGTATGAAACTTATCAAAGTATATATTCTGAGTATGTGCAGTTTATTCAATGTCAACTACTCTCAACATAACTACTTTTAAAGTTCAGTTTTGTTAGCTCTCACTATAGCATAACTAAACTGGTTAAGTGATTAAATTGTTCTCTGGAAGAACACTTTCCATAATGTTATTTATGGACATCTGTAGGACAGATGACATAAGAGGCATCTGGGAGTTTGATAAAATGCAAATTTCTGAGCCCTGCGCAAAACTGTAGACTCTAAGCCTCTGAGAGTAGAATCAGGAATCTGAATTCAACATTAGTTACTGAGTTTTTCTTGTGCATAATGAAATTTGAAAACCTCTCTCTCTTGTTTTTATTTTTTTGAGAGGTTTTTGCTATAGGGCACGTGTGCTCGCTAGAAAGACAGAGAAAGAGAGAGATAGAAAGCGAGAAATCACCCCCCAAGGGGGATGGTCACGCCACAATCCCTTCTCCTCTCGGGCTCTTGGGCACACATGCACACGCACCTGGCGTGAGTTTAAGCCACCAGGTCCGGGACTCTAACCACGGTTGGCTACGTTGGAGTCCAGTGACATAGCCATTATGCTAACTGTTGGTCTCGAAAACCTCTCTTATAGAAATAGTCAATTTAATTGTTTAGTAGGAGAATAATCTTCATATAGTTTCCTTCTTTGAAACAAATTCTTTGAGTAAGAATTTTATTTTGCTTTTTAAATAATTATTTATTTAATATATTATTATTCTTCAATTTGACCAGAGAGAGACAAAGACAGAGAGACTAAGAGAGGGAGAGTAAGAAAGCAAAGCATCTAGGTCCCAGACTCAAACTGCAGTCAGCCATGTAGGAGTCTAGCACCTTCATTACCATGCCACCTACTGGACTAAGAATTTTATTTAAAGAAGTAAAGTTAGAAGCCAGGAGGTGGGTGGAGGTTAAGGCAGCTGGATCCCACATGGCCCACCATGCAGTTCGAGTCCCAGACCTGGTGGCTTGAAAATCACACTAGGCACCTGTGTGTGCATGCCCAAAATCCTGAGAGAGAAGAACAGAGGAGAAGGGATTGTGGTAGGGCCATTCCCACCACAGTTTGATTTCTCATTTTTCCTCTCGCTTTCTATCTCTCTCTCTCTGGTGAGCATGTGCATCCTATAGCAAAACTTAAAAAAAAAAAAAAAAGGAAGAAAGAATAAATATCTGATCTTTTAGAAAAATATCTGTGTTCAACTTTGATAGAGTTTGAAAAATGCAAAGATGTTTGACTATAATTTACATTTTTTAGAAACATTTTCCCTGATTATAAAATTAATACATGTGAAGGGACCAGCTGTTGGCATAATGGCTATGTCACTGGACTCCCACGTAGTCGACTATGGTTTGAGTCCCGGACCCGGTGGCTTAAACTCACACCACGCACTTGTGTGTGTGTGCCCAAGATCCCAAGAGGACAATGGAGGAGAAGGGATTGTGGCGTGACCATCCCCCCTGGAGGGTGATTTCTCACTTTCAACCTCTCTGTCTCTCTCTGTCTTTCTGGTGAGTGCACGTACCCTATAGCAAAAACCTCTTCAAAATTAAGAAATTAATACATGTGTATTAAATACTAGCATGATTATTATTACTATTTTTTTTTAAGAGAGACATTTTTGTATAGAGTGCATGTGCTTGCCAGAGACACAGAGAGGAACAGACAGACAGAAAGAAACAGAGAGACATCCCCCAGGGGGAGGGATGGCCATGCCACAATCCCTTCTCCTCTATTCTCGTGCCTGGGACGAGAATGTTAAGCCGCTGGGTCCAGGACTCAAACTGTGGTTGACTACATGGGAGTCTAGCAATGTATACGTTATATCATCTGCTGGTCCCAAGAGCTTTTTTTAAAGAGATTTTTGCTATAGGGTGCGTGAACTCACCAGAAAGAGCAAGAGACAGAAAGTGAGAAATCACCCCCCAGGGGGATGGCCACACTGCAATCCCTTTTCCTTCATTCTCCTCTTGGGCTCTTGGGCATGCACACTGCACACACACCCAGCACTGAGTTTGAACGTGCAAGGTCTAAGACACGAATCATGGTGGGTCATATGGGAGAACAACAATGTACATTATACCACCTGATGGTTCCAGAGAGAGAGATTTTTGCTACAGGGTGTGTGTTGTTCTCCTTGGAGAGACAGAAAGCAAAAACTCATCCCCCAAGGGACTTGGCCATGCCGCAATCCATTCTCCTCCAGTCTCCTCTCAGGATTTTGGGCACGCATGCACAAGAGCCTAGTGTGAGTTTCAAGTTCCTGGGTCTGGGACTTGAACTGTGACCTGCCACGTGGGAGTCTAGCACCTTAACTACTACTCTACCTGCTGGTCTCTCAAAATTATTTTTTAAAAATGATCAAGTAGAAAGACAGAGTCACCCAGAGTCAGAGTCCAGATTATAGTTTATTTTTTCTTTTGAATTTTACATATGAAATCATACTATAACTAAGTTTTTATATTGATATATTGTAACTATTGTCTCAAATCTGCAATTTACCTTTAAAATCTACTTAACAGAACTCTTACATAGTCACATCAAATTTAATTATTCCATTTTACATTCCTCTCTGGTTTGCAGGAAAAGAAATGGTTTTTGAAGCAGACTGGGTAACAAACAGAACATACCTTTCTCCGATCTTTAAGAATCCTGTCCAAACTCTCTTCATTAACTTTGCTTGCGTAGTCATAAAAACTAGTTTTTTTTTTAAGAGAAAAAAATGTTTTATTAAAACCACAGAGTATTCTGACATAGACAAGCTTAGCTACATGTCTACAGGCCATCTAATTCTAATAAAGAAACAGTTGCTTAACTACAGTAGGTAAAGAGAAATCAGTCTAAATGCTATCCTGCTACAAAGTATCTTTTGTATCAAACACTCAAGAGATTGTTACATTCCAAATATTTTACCCCCACATGTGGGAGGTACTCATTTCAAGTAATTACAATGCAAAATACATGGTTACCAACGGCTGTAACATCTTTTCTTTATTTCTAAGTATCAAGTACTTATGAAAATGTAATAGCTCATTTTCTGATAAATGAAGAGGGAAATGAACAGTTGTTGAATGCTTATAAAGACACTGAGCTCCATGCTTTCTCATTTCCATTTCTACCTTGCCTCAGTGTTAGGAGGGATTACAAATTTGTGAGGGCCAGCTGTGTGGTTTGAGTCTGGATCCAGCAGTTTGAAAAACATGTCAGGCATGTGTGTGCACCCAAATCCCAAGTGTGCCTGCTCAAAATCCCAAGAGAAAAACAGAGAAGTGGTGTGGCATGGCTATCCTCCCTAGAGGGGGATTTCTCACTTTCCCTCCCTCTCTCTCTGGTGAACACATATGCCCTATAGCAACCTAAAAAACAATGAACAACAAAAAACTTATGCATGGATTTCAAAATTTTCTGCAACCAAAAATCTTGTACTTTAATTTCATTTATTTTTAGAGGTTTTTTTTTTTTCTTTGGTTGGTTGGTTGGTTTTGCTATAGGTTGTATGTGTTCACCGGAGAGACAGAGGCAGACAGACAGAAAGACAGAAAGTGAGAAATCACCCTGCCGGGGAGGTGTGAGGGGGAAGGTTATGGCCACACTGCAATCCTTTCTCCTCCATTCTCCTCTTGGGATTTTGGGCATGCATGCGCATATGCGCAGCATGAGTTTTAAGGCACCAGGTCCAGGACTTGAACCGTGGTTGCTTACATGGGAGTCCAGAGACGTAACTGCGTCCCCATCTGCTGGTCCCCCGGCATGAGTTTTAAGATGCCAGGTCTGGGGTTCAAACCACGGTCCACTACAAGGGAGTTCAACAACATAACCATTATGCTATTTGCTGATTCCAACTTTAATTTCAGCTTTCCATGAACTTTTTGAAGTCCCTTTAAATTAGTTCAATCCAACAATTTGACAAGTTTTATTCCTAATTTTGTAGATAAAGATACTAATGTTAAGTGACTTGCCCCAAATCACAGAGCTGGTAGATAGATCTGAAATTTGAAGCCAGGTCTGGCTAGCTTCAAACATAATGTACTCACTTCCAAAATATTGGGTAGTATGAAAAGTCATGATGCATTTTTGCATAGAAAAACATGAAAAAATATGTCATGATTTTTCTGACAACCCAATGGATCTAGGTGACCAGGATCCTGTGGTAAGCAGACTTAGTGTAATGATCTATGGATCTTTCCTACTAGCAGTTGCAGTCCTACGATGGACACCTCTCCTTCTACCAACATAAATGCAGGCCTTATAAGGCAGGAAGAAGTTCAAAGTATAGTTAAGAACAAACACACACACACCTCTGAGCTGAGAGTCAGGGATACCAATTTCAGCCTGAGTTCTGTTTCCTACTGCATGATCTGGGGCAAGTCCCGCAACCAATCTGGCCTCTTTATTTCCATTTTTGCAAATTAAGGACGTTGGAGGAGGCAGTTGATTTCTAAGGTTTCTTTCAGCTCTAAGAATGATGTTTGGGGGCCAGCAAATGACATGGAGGTTAAGGCACTGGACTCCCACATGACTGGATATGGTTCAAGTCCTGGACCTGGTGGCTTGCTTTCTCCCTCTCTGTCTCTCTTTGGTCAAACTGAGTAATAATAATAATAATAATAAATAAAATTAAATAATTTTTTAAAATGGAGTCCGATTTAAACTCTGTTAAATCCTTGTTCTGAGCTGGCCCCGTGATCAATACAAAGGAACTTCAAAAAATTCAAGGAAAAATGTAATTAAAGTACAGGTTTTTCATGCAGAAAGTTTTGAAATCCATGGATAGTTTTTTCATAATATGCATTTTCCACAAACTTTTTTTTTCTCTTAAGGTTAACGGAGCTAGACCCCACGTGGCCAACTGCACATCAATCTCGGACTCGGCAACCTGTAAAGCACTCCAGCTGGATAGAGTCTGAGTGCCCCCAGTCCTGGCAGAACGTTCCAGAGAGAGAGATTTTTGCTACAGGGTGTGTGTTGTTCTCCTTGGAGAGACAGAAAGCAAAAACTCATCCCCCAAGGGACTTGGCCATGCCGCAATCCATTCTCCTCCAGTCTCCTCTCAGGATTTTGGGCACGCATGCACAAGAGCCTAGTGTGAGTTTCAAGTTCCTGGGTCTGGGACTTGAACTGTGACCTGCCACGTGGGAGTCTAGCACCTTAACTACTACTCTACCTGCTGGTCTCTCAAAATTATTTTTTAAAAATGATCAAGTAGAAAGACAGAGTCACCCAGAGTCAGAGTCCAGATTATAGTTTATTTTTTCTTTTGAATTTTACATATGAAATCATACTATAACTAAGTTTTTATATTGATATATTGTAACTATTGTCTCAAATCTGCAATTTACCTTTAAAATCTACTTAACAGAACTCTTACATAGTCACATCAAATTTAATTATTCCATTTTACATTCCTCTCTGGTTTGCAGGAAAAGAAATGGTTTTTGAAGCAGACTGGGTAACAAACAGAACATACCTTTCTCCGATCTTTAAGAATCCTGTCCAAACTCTCTTCATTAACTTTGCTTGCGTAGTCATAAAAACTAGTTTTTTTTTTAAGAGAAAAAAATGTTTTATTAAAACCACAGAGTATTCTGACATAGACAAGCTTAGCTACATGTCTACAGGCCATCTAATTCTAATAAAGAAACAGTTGCTTAACTACAGTAGGTAAAGAGAAATCAGTCTAAATGCTATCCTGCTACAAAGTATCTTTTGTATCAAACACTCAAGAGATTGTTACATTCCAAATATTTTACCCCCACATGTGGGAGGTACTCATTTCAAGTAATTACAATGCAAAATACATGGTTACCAACGGCTGTAACATCTTTTCTTTATTTCTAAGTATCAAGTACTTATGAAAATGTAATAGCTCATTTTCTGATAAATGAAGAGGGAAATGAACAGTTGTTGAATGCTTATAAAGACACTGAGCTCCATGCTTTCTCATTTCCATTTCTACCTTGCCTCAGTGTTAGGAGGGATTACAAATTTGTGAGGGCCAGCTGTGTGGTTTGAGTCTGGATCCAGCAGTTTGAAAAACATGTCAGGCATGTGTGTGCACCCAAATCCCAAGTGTGCCTGCTCAAAATCCCAAGAGAAAAACAGAGAAGTGGTGTGGCATGGCTATCCTCCCTAGAGGGGGATTTCTCACTTTCCCTCCCTCTCTCTCTGGTGAACACATATGCCCTATAGCAACCTAAAAAACAATGAACAACAAAAAACTTATGCATGGATTTCAAAATTTTCTGCAACCAAAAATCTTGTACTTTAATTTCATTTATTTTTAGAGGTTTTTTTTTTTTCTTTGGTTGGTTGGTTGGTTTTGCTATAGGTTGTATGTGTTCACCGGAGAGACAGAGGCAGACAGACAGAAAGACAGAAAGTGAGAAATCACCCTGCCGGGGAGGTGTGAGGGGGAAGGTTATGGCCACACTGCAATCCTTTCTCCTCCATTCTCCTCTTGGGATTTTGGGCATGCATGCGCATATGCGCAGCATGAGTTTTAAGGCACCAGGTCCAGGACTTGAACCGTGGTTGCTTACATGGGAGTCCAGAGACGTAACTGCGTCCCCATCTGCTGGTCCCCCGGCATGAGTTTTAAGATGCCAGGTCTGGGGTTCAAACCACGGTCCACTACAAGGGAGTTCAACAACATAACCATTATGCTATTTGCTGATTCCAACTTTAATTTCAGCTTTCCATGAACTTTTTGAAGTCCCTTTAAATTAGTTCAATCCAACAATTTGACAAGTTTTATTCCTAATTTTGTAGATAAAGATACTAATGTTAAGTGACTTGCCCCAAATCACAGAGCTGGTAGATAGATCTGAAATTTGAAGCCAGGTCTGGCTAGCTTCAAACATAATGTACTCACTTCCAAAATATTGGGTAGTATGAAAAGTCATGATGCATTTTTGCATAGAAAAACATGAAAAAATATGTCATGATTTTTCTGACAACCCAATGGATCTAGGTGACCAGGATCCTGTGGTAAGCAGACTTAGTGTAATGATCTATGGATCTTTCCTACTAGCAGTTGCAGTCCTACGATGGACACCTCTCCTTCTACCAACATAAATGCAGGCCTTATAAGGCAGGAAGAAGTTCAAAGTATAGTTAAGAACAAACACACACACACCTCTGAGCTGAGAGTCAGGGATACCAATTTCAGCCTGAGTTCTGTTTCCTACTGCATGATCTGGGGCAAGTCCCGCAACCAATCTGGCCTCTTTATTTCCATTTTTGCAAATTAAGGACGTTGGAGGAGGCAGTTGATTTCTAAGGTTTCTTTCAGCTCTAAGAATGATGTTTGGGGGCCAGCAAATGACATGGAGGTTAAGGCACTGGACTCCCACATGACTGGATATGGTTCAAGTCCTGGACCTGGTGGCTTGCTTTCTCCCTCTCTGTCTCTCTTTGGTCAAACTGAGTAATAATAATAATAATAATAAATAAAATTAAATAATTTTTTAAAATGGAGTCCGATTTAAACTCTGTTAAATCCTTGTTCTGAGCTGGCCCCGTGATCAATACAAAGGAACTTCAAAAAATTCAAGGAAAAATGTAATTAAAGTACAGGTTTTTCATGCAGAAAGTTTTGAAATCCATGGATAGTTTTTTCATAATATGCATTTTCCACAAACTTTTTTTTTCTCTTAAGGTTAACGGAGCTAGACCCCACGTGGCCAACTGCACATCAATCTCGGACTCGGCAACCTGGAAAGCACTCCAGCTGGATAGAGTCTGAGTGCCCCCAGTCCTGGCAGAACGGAGAAACCAGAAGGCATGCGGCATGACCACACCCCATCGGGGCTGCTTTCTCCCTCCCCCTTTCTCTGTCTCTCTCTGGTGAGCACATGTACTCTGGCAAATTTAAAAACAAACAACTTTGTTCTGATATTATTTTGCTGACAATGTTTTAAGAAATTCCTCATAAAGGTGAGGCAGGGCATGCCCAACAAAGTTTTAGGTAGTTGGGGATCAATCAGACACATGCCCGAAACAAACAGAGGCAAGTGTGGACACTCAGGGCCTGAATCGTTTCATTTGCTCTGAGATTCTTTTCAAATGAACTTCTAGTTGCTCATTTTGCTTTCCTACTCCTCTTCCGGTTGTGTATAAATCTAAAACAGGTGAAGTTTTAGCTACTTTGTGGCTTTCTTTACAGGTAGCCACCTTGCATGATGGCAATCCTCCAAAATAAACAGTGGGAAGGGGTGTATGTGCGAGGGTACACATACTACAAGTGCCCAGAGGTTCTCGAGAGCTATAGTGTTTGGGCCAGTTGACAATGTCAAGGGGTCAGTGAAAAGCTACAGAGAACACAGCAGGAACAGCCAAGTAGAAGTGACTGGCAGGTGTTAAGGAAGGAAGAATTGACTGAGGACACTGAATTGTACTTGTATGGGCACTACAGACACTGGCTCGGTTTGCAGGAAGAGGCAAGAATAGGGCCTCACGGAGTTTTACAAAACAGTGTTGAAATTATCCTACCAGTCACCAGGGAGAAGGGTTTGGGGCTGAGAAAGAAGGTAGAGACCTGGGTGATGGTTTGGGAAGAAGTCTGGTGAGTGGGAAACACTGATTTTTCTCTCTCACCTTTTCCCTCCAGATGTCTCTCTTCTAAATGTTCCCTTCCCATTTCCTTTTCTTTCTGTCCTTTACTTGGCCTCAGTATAGAACTGGTATGTCCTAACTTAAATGATCACCAAAAAAAGTTTTATGTTCCTTTTCCTTACATTTTAAAGCTGGACATTGATTTTTATTTATTTTTTTTAATTCTTTTTTTTAAAAAATTGTTTTATTTAACTTTATTACTTTTAATTCCACCAGAGAAGGGA